TTTTGCCCCAGACCAGCTTTCAGACTCAGGGAAACTCGGGAGTTTCCAGAATGGAGCCCCAAACCCCCTCTGTTTTCCCTGGAAATTTCCGGAAACGCAAAGTGCTGGGGACCCTCTGTTTTCCTTTTTGTTTTCCGGAAAACCTGGGGGAGGGCCCCCCCCCCCCCCCACACCCACCCACATTGCGCCCACCGCCCGCCGCACAACACGCAACACACAACGCACAACACACACACACACACACACCCCGCACACCGCACACCACCACAACACACAACACACAACAAGTGCTCGTCTTTTCTCCTGTCATATAAAATGCATACAAACACACAACAAGTGCTCGTCTTTTCTCCTGTCATATTCGAACATAAATTCTTTTCCCCAGTAAAAAGAACATAGACACCGAGAAGCGGAGTTCAAAAGATGTCACGCTGTCGAGGGCGTGCCACCTTTGACTTGATCGCCTTTCGCACTCGCCTCTTCTTCTCAGGAGCGCTGCGCCCCCACCACACCCCGCTTCGGCAAAAGCGCCTCCCTCCTTTCGTCGGAACTCGTCGAGCTCTCACACGCTCTCGCACACCTCACTCTCTCGCCGCTTGTCCACGGTGTGTGTGTGCGCGTCGTCGCTCCTGCCGTTTGTCTCTCCACCACACTCCGGCGCCTATGGTGTCGTCGCGACGCCGAGCCAAGCCCCTGTCGGTCACTGATGATGCGCAGACGCCCTCTCTCCCACGCCCGCGTCGCGAGCCGCACACACATTGCGCCGCTCTCCACCCTTTCTCGTGTCCTGTCTCGCCGCCCATCCTATTTCGAAGAATGCCATCCTGGAATATAGGGTCTAGGTCTGAGACCGAGGGTGTTGTAGAGAAAAAAGGGAGAAAAGGAAAGGAAAACCGACGGGGTGCGAGAGGAAAACCTCGGACAGCCTAACCTCTGCCTCGTTCTGCGACGGCGCCTGCCTCTTCCTTGTCCCCGCGAGGTAAAAATTCTTTTTCAGCGGCTCCCTTGGTGTATCTGTGTTAGTGCCAGTGCGCGCCAGTCCCGTGCCCAGAGTCGTCTGGGTGCACTTGGAGCACTTGGAAGAAAGAAAGAAAGAAAACAGATAACCCAAGGGAGGGATGGGAGGACGGCACGCCGCCACCACACAGGGATTTTAAGCACTTGGAGTGCAGTCAGAGAGAAAATTCTTTTTCAGCAGCCAAGCCTTTCCGAGGCGCCCGCTCGACTCCTCCCCGCTGCGGCATCTTCGCCCGCACGTCCTCGCCCCGCATCCCCATGCTCGATCCCACAAAGGCCTTCGCCGCCTCTCGCGCTGCCACGTCGCGCACCGCTGGGCGCGAGATGAAGTACGGACACCACCGTCCCGTGTATGGCACGCTCCAGTTCATCGAGTCGCAAGCCATGCCGGTGCTACCCGACCGGCCAGCGCGGGTCCAGGTCGAGCAGAAGCGGAAGCTGCAGCAAGCGGAGCACCTCGGCGAGTACAACATCTGGTACCACCGCTGGAGCGGCGAAAACAACTACGAGCGCGCCCCTCGCGCGTCGACC